TTAGAGGGGGATGGCCGTAACGAATCGCTCGGGTCGCTCCGAGTGTCGCATTAATCTTGAAATGGAAATTAAACATCTATGAACGCGAATTGATAAATTATTATTACATTAGGGTGCCCAAGTAATAAAATTGCCCAGAACTAAGGTGTGTATTAATGATTAAACTAATAAATTTTAGATAACTGCTTTATTTCTTTTATTTAAAATACATACTTTAAATAAAATTGTTTTTGACACGACCGATCTCTAACTCATACGACTTATTTAAAATGTAATTAAAAAATAGATCAGAAGAAGTTATCTAAAATAATAAATTCTATATAATTCTTTTATATTTTATTAAAAGTACATATTTAAACATCTTTATTTTTTAAATACGATCGAGTTCCGTATATTACTGTGTATATCGATATATTATAATTAGACTTTATATTATTATATGTGAAACAAATTAAAATCCAATTAGTATTTCGTCGCGGAATTAATAAAATAATTTCTTACATTGATTTTCTTAAAACTCAACAGTATAGTTGGCGCGAGTCGTTTAATCCACAAAAGTAATGAGTAAATTATATTCGAATGCATAATGCAATGTAAGTTTTGTTGAATTCTAAGCACCAAGAGTTAAAAATATAATACCTATCGAAATAAAACAGTGATTTGTAATTCGTGCAATCTATATATGTCTATAATGATTTTGTCGCGAACGTATTTTGTTTTAATTAGGTTTAATGAAGTAATAATGCGGATTAAGAATGCGGAATAAGTAAATGACTGCAGAATTAAGAGTTACAAACTAATAATCGTTTATTCTAACAGGATTGAAATATCTAAAATGTTCATGATCCAGTGAGAAATGACGATGGAGTCAATGTCGAATCGACGTCGAATTTGATGATTTTGACGTCGAATCGACATCGATTTGATATTGATTCCATCATTTCTGACTGAGGAGTTGAATGTGGTGTGCGTAACAAATGTAAGAAGCAAAGCAAACCGTGCATTAAAGCCTGTTCATCAGAGAATATAAAAATGTAAAGGATATGTTACCTTACTTATTTTGTAAAATACGTTACTTTTCGTAGAAATTACGTAGACGGTTGGCGCAGTGGTCTTGGGGTTGTTTTGATACGGAAGGATAGACGGGCGGCCCGGTCGCCCGGTGCGTGATCATGTTTACGCTCAGACATTCCATTGTGCCTACTACGAGTAAACATGTACTACGTAGCAACATGACGTAGACGCGTCGCTCCGTGCCATCCCCACTCCAAGGTCGCGCGCTGATAATCTAACCGTCGAAATATTAACGTTAATGCATATTACAAAATCAGTAGCGACACTGCTACTTGTCTGTATCACACGAGTCATAAAAAAGCAACATTAATACGAATACCCTTATGCAAATAACGCAATTCTTTCTTTCACAATTAATATAGTTTAATAATTTAATTAATTTTTTTGTTTTTGTGCACCTTCTATTATACGATCCGTTTAAAAATTAATCGTAACTTTGGAACTATTTATCGGTAATAAAAGAAACATGTCTCTTTTTTTATTAATCTCTGGCCCATTCATTGACTCTAATTATTTCTTACAGACATCATCTACGTATAAAAAGATTCATTTTTATCTCCTCTGAATTTATTTCGCAATGATAACGAATTGCAGACGTGTGTTTGATATTCATTTCTAAAAATTAACCGATTGCATAGTAATATAGATAATAGTTATATATTATATTTTTCAGATTATCTTCCCTCCCACGGGTACACCTTGACGTGGTGAGAGGGCTCAGTACCCAGAGGATATTTACATGAAAAGAATGGTTTTTCTCAAGTATTTAAAAATTTTCGGATATGTCTGTATATCTAGATAAATTTTTAGATATTGAGTAAAATCATTCTCTTCGTGTAAAAATCCAACGGGGAAGCTAACGTACCCTCGTCGCCGATTTACTTGAAAATGAACGAACCGCAGCCGGTTCGTCGCGTCGCGCGTTTTATTTCGGGAGTGCCGTTCAAGTTATCGGACTCAAGTTATAGTCCGCGTGCGTTTATAGTATATTATTCGCGAGTGTTTTACGCGAGTGTCTTGTGCGAGAAGATGCCAACCCGATTCTGAGAGGAGGAGGAGGTCTGAGAGAGGCATCGGGCACCGGCGGAGCAACCTTGCGGTAAATATTTTTTGCTTATGTAAAATCAATATCTTTCTTCTATTTATTTTTGAGTCATTTTATTTTACAATGATTTAAAAATGATAATTAGAAAAAGGATTATTTTAAAGTTATTTTAAAATTTCATATACATATACGAATTTTGAAGATCTGTTTTAAAAAATACATAATTATTTTATAAATATCTAACTCAATGAATTAAAAAATTCATGCTTATAAAAACTATACATTTTGAAAATTATATGATTATTTTAAGACAACTTTGCTTTTTTTTTTTAAATATTGTTTGTGTTCTTCCTGATTTGTTATAATTTGAATTTTATATTTTTTTGTTACAGAATCATCGTAGCGACGTTGCAGAACTCCGCTGTTGCGCGTCGGGTTGGTGAGTGACGAATTAATGTTTTTATTGAGATAACGGATGTATGGTAATTTTATTAATATATTATATATCTATAAATGCATATATGTATTAATTTAATAAAAATATACGGATAAATATATGTAAAGAATTCCATACATCCGTTGTCTTAAAATGGATAAGTTAAAACAGATTAGGATAAACTTAATCCTGAATACCTTCTTATTGTTAAATATATTGTGCATGTATTGTTAAATTTATAATCACGTTACACCCAGTTTGAGTTATTTTAAATTATTCCTATATGTTGCCACTACTTTTACACAATTAATATCGCGTTAATTTAACTATAACAGTAAAACTATTTAACTCAGGAAGATTATTCAATTTAGCTCAAATTTTATTTACTAATTATAAATTTATACGTTAATGTGAACGTTTTGATACAAAGTAACTCAAGCTGGGTTTGATAATTCAAGCTCAGAAATATAATAAAAAATAGGTTGTTTCAATGATCGTGTTTTATATAATACTAAAGTAACTAGGGGGAAACCTATTTTACATATAATTATATAAAATTACATAAAATAATAACTTTATATAATTGTGTGTATATAAATGGACACACATATTTGACAGATATATAATTGTATATAAATATATATAATTATATGCAATTATTATGTAAAATATGTCCATTTATATAAAATTATGTATATAAAAATATATATAATTTTATACAATTATGTATAAATAAACGTATTTTATATAATAATTGCATATAATTATATATATTTATGTACAATTATATATCAAATACATCCATTTATATACAATTATATAAAGTTACATATAATTATTTTATGTAATTTTATATAATTATATGTAAAATAGGTTTCCCCCCAGTTACTTTAGTATTATATAAAACACGATCATTGAAACAACCTATTTTTTATTATATTTCTGAGCTTGAATTAGCAAACCGAGCTTGAGTTACTTCGTATCAAAGCGTTCACATTAACGTATAAATTTACAATTAGTAAATAAAATTTGAGCTAAATTGAATAATCTTCCTTAAATAATTTTACTCTATTCTTATAGTTAAATTAACAAGATATTGTGTAAAAGCAATGGCAACATATAGGAATAATTTAAAATAACTCAAACTGGGTATAACATGACATTATAAATTTATCAGTATATGCACAATACTATTTTACACTTATTTGTATACATGTGTTACTGATGAAATAACAATGAAAATTTTAATATAATTGATTGATCTCGTTTTTCAATAAAAGACATTTTATGATTATTAATTATTATTGTTTATTTCAATGCACTAACTTTAGCCTGATCTTTTATAACTTATCCATATGTAGTAACTGGATTTTACACCAGTTAAAGTAGTAACATGATGTAAGATCAAAAATATACATTTATATAAAATATACATTTATATAAAATATACATTATAAGAAATAGAAGAATTTTTTTTGTATAACTTAAAATAGTTAATATTAAAATAATAAATTATACAAAAAATTATTCTAATAATTTTCAAAATACAAAGAGATATATTTATTGATGCAAGAGAAAAATATTCCTTTTGGATCTTATATCATTCATTTGAATTTCTCATCTCCGCATGCTTGAGATGAGCTTCAACAATGAATCGTTCGAATCGTTAAAAATACGTACATGGGTCTTGAATTTTATCGAATCATAATCGATTTAGCAATTTTCAATTTATTTTTAAATTAAAATTTTGTTTTTTATATAGTAATGTTTATATTAAAAAATTTAATCTAGTTTAATATTCGAGACTTTTAAAATAAAAACATTATTAACTTAAAAATTTTTTAAATTTAGATTTATTTTTAGTCGAATATTTATATTTTTAATTTAGAATAAACGCGACATTTATTCGTTGTATATTAATAGAATTATTATTATTATTATTATTGATGATTATTCATATTACAATTTAGTCAATTTCATTGATATAATGGCCCTTTCGCGACGCGTTCGTGTTTCGCGCATCATACATAAGCGTAAAATCTTACGCTTATTGCCGGCAATGTTAGTCGGCAGCAGTCGACAGCAAAAAGGAGAATTTCTCCTTGTTGTCGTTTTCTGGCATATAAAGCCAGAATATTGGCCAAAAGCAACGAAAGGTGAGTTTAATCTGGCCAGAAGAAAGAAGAGTATTTAAAAGTATGAAGTAGGATGGTGTGTAATACCAATTTAAGTTTTTAAAAGGAATATATACATTGAGAAAAAAAATTTGTTCAACGAACTAAACACATTTAATTGTTTGCAGATTTGATTATTTTATCAATTTTTATTTAATTGAATTTAATCATAGTCTGCTTAATGTTAAACAGTTCGTTAAGTAGACTAGAGTTAATAAATAAAATTCGATTAAATAAAATTTGATAAAATAATGAAATCTGCAAACAACTAAAATGTGTGTAGTTAGTTGAACAAATTATTTTTTCTCAGTGTATAAAGATAAATTGATTATTCGGGAGGGTAACTTACTCGCAAATTGCGAGTTCTTATATTTTTTTGAAAAATTGCTTATATTTAAAATACAAAAATAACCAATAAACAACAGGGCTAATAAGAGTCAGTGTGGATAATCAGATTTTTACTCTACAAAACTTGCACCTGATTATCCGCGCTGACTCTCATTAGCCTTGTTATTTATTAATTTTTTTGTATTTTAAAAATTGAAAGTCTGTTTTAATTATTATTATTTATTGCTTATTTATTTAGTATGATCGCGATTAGGTTCCCTGAATTCATTAGTACGCGATAGGACATGATTAGGCATTAGATGCTGCGTTCAGTAAAGGAAGCAGCTTTACAACATTTGCAAAGCTGTTTTTTCTGCTGAATACAGCTATTAACTTATTATATTCGCGATGTTATTACACATTAATGAAATAATGTAGGTAGGAATATATACGGGTTGAGATAGAATATGCGAATAAGTACGAATAAATGGAAATACGGATAGGTAGGACAATAAGTATGAATAGGTAGAGATAATCATAATTATTTTAAATTAAAAAATTAAATTATTACAAATTAAATGACAAATAAATTTCGCGATCGGGTAATTAAATTTTATTTTAAAAATAAAAAATAAATATAATTAACTAAAAAATATTACATAATAAATCTCTAATCAGTAAAGATAATATGTAGGTAGGGATACATAAACATCATCTGTACATACTTGATAATTGGAAAGGAAGGATTAAAATTCAATAAAATTTTTAATTAATTTTAAATTTTATTTAATTATCAGCATCTCGTTCCAATTATCAATTATGAGAATAAACCAAATTAATTTTAAATTTCATTGACTTTTTAGCTCCCCTGAAATTAAACTTTTTGGAAAATTATATTCATGTATAAATTGTGTTAATATTGTATTTAATTTTATTGTAAATAAATGTATAATTAGGTACGTAATATAGAATTTATGTAAACTTTGTTCAGATAAATGCCATCATATTTACTTTTGTAATTTGCATAATAATTACTAATAAACTATATATTTATTGGAATTATATCTGTATTGAATATCTATCTACAGATAGCATTTATCTTGTCATAGTAAATCAAATTTATCGTTTCTT